TTTAATTAAGGGGTACGGGCTCCATCCCGAAACTCGTTGGCGGATTCCGAGAAATTGGCCGTTTCGCTCGGGACATCCTCAAAAAATCGGCTCCGGAGGGGACTCCGCATTATCTTGGAATCGCTCGCGGAGGGCCTCCAAACGGCCCAAGAGAGACCCCGAAGGCCCCCCAGAGGACCCCCAAAGCGCCCCAAGAGACCCCCAAGAGCCCCCAGGACGGCCCCCAAGACGACCCGCGGTGCCGCCAGGACGGCCCAGGATGTCCTCAGGACGGCCTCGAGACGGCCTCCAGACGAACTCGAGGATGACGGGAAGCGCCTCCAGCGTGCACCGTTGGCTCTGGGGCTGAATTTTCTCTAACTAAGGGGTACGGGCCCGCACTTCGGAACTCGCTGGCGGCGGCCTGCGGCAGCAGAGGGACGCGGGCACCCCGAGCCAGCCGGCACGGGTCTTCCTGCTCGTCGTCGTCGTCGTCGTCGTCGTCGTCGTCGTCGTCGTCGTCGTCGTCGTCGTCGTCGTCGTCGTCTTCGTCGTCTTCGTCAATAACGATCTCGAAAATTACGAAAATAAGAAGACGATGACAGAAACGACCACAAACATAACACAAAAACCAACCGAACACGGAATCCAACAACAAAAAAACAATCAGAAAAACGACCGCAATCATAAGATGATAACGACGGCGACAGCGAGAACGGCAACAGCGGACGATTATAATGAAAATGATGACCACGACAAAGGAAAGGCACGCGACGACGACGACGGACAAACAAAAGACAAAAGACAGGCTGGAACAGAAAAAGTAGGCTGGGCGACAACGGGTGGGGGCCCGCGTGGCCGAGAGACAAGCACGGTGTCGACACCATGATGTGGCCAGGGCAGCAGACTACCTCGACAGACCAGCGCGGCAGGCCATCATTTAGTCTGTTCTGTTGCGTTTATGGGTTTCTCTGACGTTCTCGCCAATACGGTCTCTGACGCACGTGGTGGATAAAAAACGGCGCTTCCCGTTCTTGTCCGGTCAGGTTTCTGTTTGACGGAACGGCCTCCGGCGTGCCCCCGTTGTTTCTGGGGCTTAATTTTCCTACTAAAGGGGTACGGGCTCCATCCCGGAAACTCGTTGGCGGATGACGGGAATTGGCCGTTTCGGGGGATGACGGGGGAAATTCTATCAACAATTCGGCTCCGGCAGGGACTCCCGAAAGACAGCATTATCTTGGAGCGCTCCGGAGGTGCCCTCAAACGCCGAGAGACCCCGAAGCCCCCCAGAGGTACCCCCAAACGCCCCAAGAGACCCCCAGAGACCCCGAGGAACGGGCCCCCAAGACGACCCGCGGTGCCGCCAGGACGGCCCAGGATGTCCTCAGGACGGCCTCGAGACGGCCTCCAGACGAACTCGAGGATGACGGGAAGCGCCTCCAGCGTGCACCGTTGGCTCTGGGGCTTAATTTTCTCTAACTAAGGGGTACGGGCCCGCACTTCGGAACTCGCTGGCGGCGGCCTGCGGCAGCAGAGGGACGCGGGCACCCCGAGCCAGCCGGCACGGGTCCTCCTGCTCGTCGTCGTCGTCGTCGTCGTCGTCGTCGTCGTCGTCTTCGTCGTCGTCTTCGTCAATAACGATCTCGAAAATTACGACAAAAAGCGATGACAGAAAACGACCACAAACATAACACACAAACCAACCGAACACGGAATCCAACAACAAAAAAACAATCAGAAAAACGACCGCAATCATAAAATGATAACGACGGCGACAGCGAGAACGGCAACAGCGGACGATTATAATGAGAACGACGACCACGACAAAGGAAAGGCACGCGACGACGACGACGGACAAACAAAAGACAAGACAGGCTGGAACAGAAAAAGTAGGCTGGGCGACAACGGGTGGGGGCCCGCGTGGCCGAGAGAAAAGCACGGTGTCGACACCAATGATGTGTCCAGGGCAGCAAGACACCTCACGACAGACCAGCGTCGGCAGGCCATCATTTTTTAGTCTGTTTCTGTTGCGTTATGGGGTTTCTCTGACGTTCTCGCCAATACGTCTCTGACGCACGTGTGGATAAAACGGCGCTTCCGTTCTTGTCCTGGTGGGGGGGAGGGGGGGGGGGGGGGGCTGTCAGTTCTGGACGGCCGTAATGGGCGCTTCGCTCGAGACGTCCTCCAAAAATCGGCCCAAGAGGGGACTCCGCATCGACGTCGTGTTCGAATCGCTCTTGGGGGGCTTTCCAAGGGCCCAAGGGAGGCCCAAAAGATGCCCCGGAGAGCCCCAGGAGCGCCCAAGAGCGCCCCAAGAAGACCCCAAGAGCCCCAAGAGCGCTCTAGGAGCCACCCAGACAGCTCACAAGAACCCCAAGACGGCCCGAGAAGGGCCAAGAAGGCCCCCAAGAGACGGGAGCGCCCCAGGAGGCCCCCAGCGCCGAGACGGCCTAAGAAAGCTCCCACAGAACCCCACGACGCGCCCAGACAGCCCAAGAAGACCCCAGAAGCCCATAAGAGGACCCAAGAAGCCCCCAAGAAGCCCCCAACAGGCCCCAAGAGAACCCCGCGCGGCGCCAGGAGCAACGTCTTTTTCCAATTGCCTCGTACTGTCCTCTGTCGTCGTCGTCGTCGTCGTCGTCATCATCATCGCCCTCCGCATTCCTCGTACTCGCCCTCGTTCTCTTCGTCCTCGTCCTTGTGCTTCTCTTCCTCCTCGTTGTCCTCATGCTCCTCCTCGCTATCCTCACGTTCGCCACGTCGTCCTCGTCATCGACTCCTCGTTGTCCTCGCCTTCCTTTTCTTCTTCGCCCAACACGCCCATTAGACCACAGCGGCGCTTCCCGTTCTTGTCCGATTGAACGTAAATATTGATTGAGCATGAGTTTCGGCGCGGCTTGGAAAAAGCACGTCGGCGCGTTGGAATCATCACATTTCGCATTTCCAATGATCAGACTGGTACCGGTTTGTCCATATGTGATGTGGGCCCCCGAGTTAAAGTGGGCGCCCGAATCGCTCGAGCGTGGAAGGCCCATGGGGACACAGGGTTCGAAGTGAATGCCGCGACCGCGCGCCTCTTGGGGCTGAAGGCTGGACTTTTCGGTCCCTGGTCCCCTTCTTGGGCCCCTCTAGGGACCGTTTTGGGGCCCTCTTGGGCCGTCTTGGGGACCTCTTGGGTTCTCGTGGGCCCATCTTGGGGGCGCGGTTGGCCGTCTGGGGACGATGCTGGAGGCATCTGGGGCAGTTCTGGACGCTGTGAAGCCCCAAACTTCGCACATGCGAAACATGTACGTTTTCCAAAGAGACTGGGACGATTTTTGCTTGTTGGGGCCCTCTTGGAGAGCCTCTTGGGGCTTTTTCTCGGCCTGTGGGGCCATCTGGAGACCATCTTGAGCGTCTTGGAGCGATCTTTCGGCGACTCGGGGCCTCTTGGGCCGTGTAGGGGGCGTCCCGGCGCCCTCTTGGCGCGCTCCTGGAACGCCCTGGGGGAGTCGGCCGGGCATCGGCCAAGCATCGGCCGGGCATCGCCCGGGGTGCTTTTCGTCCGGGGGTCCCCAGGGGCCGCCACGCGCGCGCGACCTAGAACTACTTTTCTCCTGTTACCGGAGATCTTAGCACGCCTCTGGCCCGCTGGGCCGGCGAATTTTGCCTAGCAGCTCATAACATGGCATAGAATTGCATTGCACAGCACAGCACAGCATGCCGTGCCTGTGCATACCATGTAACGCAGTAGCATCGCTCTGCATAGGAAACATCGCATAATATGGTTCAGCGTATCATCCCATATATGTTCATTGCATTTCACAGCACAGCACGTCATGACATGCAATGCGCACTGTAGATTTGATCATGCTATTGCATTGCGTACTGCATCGTGGCATTGCGCTTTATAGCGTAGCATGGTGTACCATGGCATTCCATAGTTTAGTGCAGCATGGCGCTGTAGCGGTGCGTTTTTCCTGATCCATAGCTTGTCGACAGATCACCCATCGACCCGTCGATGAGAGCGGAGGAGGAGGAATGAGGAAGAGACAGGAGGAAACAGAGAACGTTGACCTCATTATTCATGACCGCCTTGTTGTCTCAATGCGGTCAGCACTCGACCAGCTAGAACATCAGCGCGCGCGATATTGTTTGTTTTCTTTTTCTATATATATGTATAGATACATCTGTCCTTTCGAATATCAAATTCATCAGTCTACTGGTCTACCGGTCCGATCATCAATACAGCGCAAAGGCTTCACGGCCGGTGCAGCCGACCTTGAAGGCGGACGACGACGACGACGACGACGACGGCGGCGACGTCGACGAGGACGATAACGATCTGGAGACCTGCCAGGAGGGGTGGGGGCTTGACTTCACACTGTCCACAGGGGGAACACCCCCAAGGACCCCTCAGGCGGGCCGCCCCCCCCTCCTGGCTGGAAAGCAAATGAATGGCGCAATTTGACCATGTTCCAGCTGGGCGCCCAGGCGCCTGGACGCCCGGGCGCTTGGGGCGCCCAGACGCCCGGACGCCCGGGACCCGCGGACGCCCGGGCGCTCGGGCGCCCGGACGCCCGGACGCCCGGACGCCCGGGCGCCCGGCGGGCCAGACGCTCGGGCGCATGCTATTGCACAACACGGAGAAAGAACATCAGGATCAGAAAAAGAGAGAGCAAGAGAGCGAGAGAGAGAGAGAGAGGGGGCGCCCACCGAGAGCCGCCCACCGAGAGCCGCCCACCGAAATCGGCCGGCCACTTTCGCCAATTTTTTTTATGTCCGCTAGGACCCCGTCAGTGTAAACACTGATTGGGGAATATGCAGTGTGTACTGTCGCGTGTGCGTGGGAATGAAGCTATACTCGTCTGCTATTGCGAGCGTGTGTTCCGCTCGTGTCTGTCTTGAGTGTGCGTGCGTGTGTGTGCGTACGTGCGTGCGCGTGTGTGTGTGTGTGTGTGTGTGTGTGTGTGTGTGTGTAAGTGTGTGTAAGTGTGTGTGTGTGTGTTCGCGTGTGTGTGTGTCCCTATGTGTGCGCGAGGTGACAGTCTTCGTGCGTATGTCCACGTGCACCTGGCCCAAGCCACTTTGGCTCGAGTCGCCGGCTTGCCGCGCCGGGCGGGCTGGGCGCAATGGGGCCGCGGGGCTTCTGGCGCGAGCTCCGGCAGAAGGGCGCTGGGCGCCAGCTCGAGGGTCGAGAGGTGGATGCCTGCCTCCTCTCCTCTCTCCTCTCGCTCTCTCCTCTGCCTGGTACGACTTCGGGCTGAGCACAGACTGCCCCCTGAGGTACCCCCAGGAAGTACTGGCTGCCCGCAACGCACCCCTCCCCCGAGTAGTCCAGGGCGGTCTCAACACCCTGGCTCCGCCTCCAGCGGCGCCCCCCTGGGGCGCTTCGCGCCAGGGTTGAGGTGTTGAGACCGCTCTGCGCTACTCGGGGGGCCTGTTGAGGCCAGCGGACACTCGAGGGGCCTGTTGAAGCCAGCGGGGACCACCTGCTGTAGCAGACTATGCGCAACCCGAAGCGTTATCACTTGTCCTCTGCGCCAGAGAGCAGGCCGCCACGCAGCCCACCTCAATTCTTTACGCTTCGCGTATCCCCACCAGCCCATCTCACAACAGCAACTCATGCGAAGCATGCCGACAGTCGTGTTTTTCAGGCGTGTGTCCGTTTGGCCCCGCATATCTCCCCTGTTCCTCCTTCCTCCCGCCTCCTTGTACATCCTCCTTGTGGGGGGAGCGGGAGAAGGACTAGGCGGAGGAGGAGGGAGAGAAAGCGCTCCTCATGATTTGAGTCGTTTGGGGTTTCTCGTCCTGGTGTGAGTCGTTACGGCCCCTTCTTCCTGGTGTGAGTCGTTTTCGGGCTCTTCGTGGTGTGAGTTCGGACGGCTCTTTCGTCCTGGTGTGGAGTCGTTCGGGCGTCTCGTGGTGTGATCGTTCGGGCCCCTCATCCTAGTGTAGTCGTTCGGGCCCCTCCTCCTGGTGTGAGTCGTTCGGGCTCCTCGTGGTGTGAGTCGTTCGGGGCCCTCGTCCTGGTGTGAGTCGTTCGGGCTCCTCGTGGTGGGAGTCGTTCGGGCGCCTCGTCCTGGTGTGAGTCGTTCGGGCCCCTCCTCCTGGTGTGAGTCGTTCGGGCTCTTCGTGGTGTGAGTCGTTCGGGCCCCTCGTCCGGGTGTGAGTCGTTCCGGCTCCTCGTGGGGCCTCTTGGGGGCCTCTTGGAGCCTCTTGGGGCCTCTTGGGGGCCTCTTGGGGGCCTCTTGGGGGCCTCTTGGGGGCCTCTTGGGGCCTCTGTGGCCTCTGTTGGGGGCCTCTTGGGGGCCTCCGTTTGGGGGCCTCTTGGGGGCCTCTTGGGGGCCTCCTTGGGGGCCTCTTGGAGGGCCCTCTTGGGAGGCTCCGTGGGGCCTCTGGGGCCATCTTTGGGCCTCTTGCGACCATCCTCAGAGCGCAAGAGCGCTGGCCGTGGCACCCCCCCTGAAAGGACAAAATGAGCAAAAACCATACGTAAATCAATGATTTTGCTATGAAGGAAGATAGGCGCGGCCCCCTCGGGAGGCCAAAATGGGGCCAAACCCTAGTAAAAGCAATGATTTTGGCTGCACAGAAGAGGAGGGGGCTACAAGAGCGTCCCCCCGTCGGGGCCAGAATCCTCGTGAGGGTCGTCGTTTTTTGGCCCTCCCAGGCGTCGAAAAAGACCCCCCTGACGACCCGCGGGGTGCGCTCTCCAGGCCCAGGGGGAGGGGGGAGGGGGAGGGGTAAACCCCTCCCCGACGGGGAAGAAGGGGGGTTGAGGACAGAGGGGGCTCGCTAAACCACTCACGCCCTAAAGGGCTGGTGGGATTCGTACAGCCGACGAGATCCGGAGAGGCTTGGATCGTGTAGGTCGAAAGCGCGCTCCGATGCTCGTTCGGGCCCTTTTTCCCGGTGTGAGTCGTTCGGGCTCTTCGTGGTGTGAGTCGTTCGGACTCTTCGTCCTGGTGAGAGTCGTTCGGGCTTCTCGTGGTGTGAGTTGTTCGGGCCCCTCATCCTGGTGTGAGTCGTTCGGGCTCCTCGTGGAGCCTCTTGGGGGCCTCTTGGAGGCTCTCGGGGCCTCTGGGGGTCCTGACGGATGTAGGGTTGCTCCAATGGTGGATGTGCCACTACACATTTTCCGTGGCGCCTCAGGTGGCTTGTACTGTAGGACACAGCTTGCTGGTGGAACGTGTACTACACTCAGCTGGTCCACGTACGCTTCACGTATGGGTCTACTATAGGAAACAGCTTGCTGGTGGCACTTGTATTGTAGACGGCTGAAGCTCGTACTGTAGTTCGCGGGTGCTGGATTCTGCATCTGTGATGGTGTTTGTTATCTTGTTCTGGTGAAAGTGCTGGTTATTCTACTCAGTTTTAGTTCATTGGTGCGAAGAGTCGTTCCGGCTCCTCGTGGTGTGAGTCGTTGGGGCCCCTCGTCCTTCCATGTGTGAGTCCTTCGGGCCCCTCATTGTGTGTGAGTCGTTCGGGCTCCTCGTGGTGTGAGTCGTTCGGGCCCCTCGTCCTGGTGTGAGTCGTTCTGGCCCCCTCTTGTGTGTGAGTCGCTCGGGCTCCTCGTGGTGTGAGTCGTTCGGGCCCCTCGTCCTGGTGAGACTCGTTCGGGCGCCTCCTTGCGTGTGAGTCGTTAGGGCTCCTCGTGGTGTGAGTCGTTCGGGCCGCTCGTCCTGGTGTGAGTCGCTCGGGCCCTTCCTTGTGTGTGAGTCGTTCCGGCTCCTCGTGGTGTGAGTCGTTGGGGCCCCTCGTCCTGGGGTGAGTCGTTCGGGGTCCTCGTGGGGCCTCTTGGGGGCTTCGTGGAGGCTCTTGGGGCCTCTTGGGGGCCTCTTGGGGGCCTCTTGGGGGCCTCTTGGGGCGAAGAAGGCCTCCCCTAATCTTGCAGGTGTACAGTGCCACGGGAGGCCCTCCAGAGGTAATGCAAGAGTTTGTATTTCTGTGCGTTGCAGATATGTGAGTCGTTCCGGCTCCTCGTGGTGTGAGTCGTTGGGGCCCCTCGTCCTTCCTTGTGTGAGTCCTTCGGGCCCCTCATTGTGTGTGAGTCGTTCGGGCTCCTCGTCCTGGTGTGAGTCGTTCGGGCTCCTCGTGGGGCCTCTTGGGGGCTTCGTGGAGGCTCTTGGGGCCTCTTGGGGGCCTCTTGGGGGCCTCTTGGGGGCCTCTGGGGGGCCTCTTGGGGGCCTCTTGGGGCGAAGAAGGCCTCCCCTAATCTTGCAGGTTTACACTGCCACGGGAGGGCCTCCAGAGGTAATGCAAGAGTTCGGTTCTCTGTGCGTTGCAGATATGTGAGTCGTTGGGGCCCCTCCTCCTTCCTTGTGTGAGTCCTTCGGGCCCCTCATTGTGTGTGAGTCGTTCGGGATCCTCGTGGTGTGAGTCGTTCGGGCCCCTCGTCCTGGTGTGCGACGTTCGGGCCCCTCCTTGTGTGTGAGTCGTTCGGGCTCCTCGTGGTGTGAGTCGTTCGGGCCCCTCGTCCTGGTGTGAGTCGTTCGGGCGCCTCCTTGCGTGTGAGTCGGTAGGGCTCCTCGTGGTGTGAGTCGTTCGGGCCGCTCGTCCTGGTGTGAGTCGTTCGGGCCCCTCCTTGTGTGTGAGTCGTTCCAGCTCCTCGTGGTGTGAGTCGTTCGGGCCCCTCGTCCTGGGGTGAGTCGTTCTCGGACTCCCGTGGGCCCCTTGGGGGCCTCTTGGGAGCTCTTGGGGGCATTCTGGGGGCCTCTTGGGGGCCTCTTGGGGCTCTTGGGGCCTCGTGGGGCCTCTGGGGGCCTCTTGGGGGCCTCTTGGGGGCCTCTTGGGGCCTCGTGGGGCCTCTTGGGGGCCTCTTGGGGGCCTCTTGGGGGCCTCTTGGGGCCGCTTGGGGGCCTCTTGGGGGCCTCCTGGGGGCCTCTTGGGAGCCTCCTGGGGGCCTCTTGGGGCCATCCTGGGGTCTCTGGCGGTCTCCTCGGGGGCGCAGGTGGGGGCTGCCCCCTGGGGGGGGCGGGCTGAGCCCGGGGCCTTCGTGGGGTCGATGGTTTTGCTGGGGGGGGCGGGGGGCGCGCCCCCCCCAGAAGCGCAAACGAGAGCTGCCCCCCGAGAAGGACAAACCGAGCCCAAAACCCTCGCAAAACCAATGACCTTGCTAAAAAGGACGAGGAACGCGGCCCCCCCAGAAGGCCAAAATGGGGCCAAAACCATCGTACAAGCAAGGATTTTGGCTTTGAAGACGAGTGGAGGCGCCAAACGGTCTCCCCCCCTCGAGACCAGAATCCTCGTGAGGGTAGTCGTTTTTTTGCCCTCCCAGGAGTCGAAAAAGACCCCCTTGGTCCCACTCGGCCCGCCCTCTCCAGGTCCAGGGGGAGGGGGTAGGGGGAGGGGTAAACCCCTCCCCGAAGGGGAAGAAGGGGGGTGCCCCTCCTCCTTGTGGTGTGAGTCGTTCGGGCTCTTCGTGGTGTGAGTCGTTCGGGCCCCTCCTCCTGGTGTGAGTAGTTCGGGTCCTCCCTCCTGGACAGAGTCGTTCGGGCCCCTCCTCGATGTGTGAGTCGTTCGGCGAGGGGCCCGAAAGACTCACACAAGGAAGGGCCCGAACGACTCACACCAGGGCGAGGGGCCCCAACGACGCACACCACATGCATTCTGTTCCAGGACGTCGCCGTCGTGTGAGTCGACAGAGTCGGTTACGTGTAGGACTGGAGAACGACTGCCTTCTGTCTTGCCTCCCATCGCCTTCTCTCCCTCTTCCTCTTCCTCCTCTTCGGCTCCTAGTCGTAGTAGTAGAAGTAGTACCAGTAGGATCAGTTGTAGTACTGGTAGTGGTAGTAGCAGTTGTAGTAGTAGTAGTAGTAGTAGTAGTAGTAGTAGTAGTAGTAGTAGTAGTAGGAGGAGGGGAGGAGGAGGGAGGGGAGGGAGGAGGGGCGTAGTAGTAGTAGTAGTAAAAGTCCTGAGAGTAGTAGTTAGTAGTACCGTATTAGTAGTAGTAGTAGTAAGTAGAAGTAGTAGTAGTAGTAAAGTAGTATAGTAGTAGTAGTAGTAGAAGTAGTAGTAGTAGTATCGCAGCAGCAGTTAGTAGTAGTAGTTGGAGAGTAGTAGTAGTAGTAGTATAGTAGTATTAGTAGTAGAGTAGCAGTAGTAGCAGTGTCGAGTAGTATGTAGTAGTATGCGGAGTAAGTAGTAGTATATGTATTAGTAGTAGTAGTAGTAGTAGTAGTAGTAGTAGTAGTAGTAGTAGTAGTAAATATCGTAGTAAGTCCGTATTAGTCGTAGTAATCTTAGTACTAACCGTAGTGTAAGTAGTATTATAGTAGTAGTAGTAGTAGTAGTAGTAGTAGTATATTTAGTAGGTAGTAGTAGTAGTAAGTGTAGTAGTATTGTAATTTCGGCGGGCCCCCCCTCCTGGTTTCAGAGTCGTTCGGGCCCCTCCCGGATATGTGAATCTCCGCGAGGGGCCCGAACGACTCACACAAAGAGGGGCCCGAACGACTCACACCAGGGCGAGGGGCCCCAACGACGCACACCACCTGCATTCTCATCCAGGACGTGCGCACTCTGAGTTCCGTGATTCTACCCTTGTCGAACTGAAATCATGTCGCCTTCTGTCTTGCCTCCATCGCCTTCTGTCCCTCCTCCTCTTCCTCCTCTTCGACTCCGAGTCGTAGTAGCAGTAGTAGTAGTAGTAGTAGTAGTAGTAGTAGTAGTAGTAGTAGTAGTAGTAGTAGTCGTAGTCGTAGTCGTAGTCGTAAGTGTATTAAGTAATAGTATTAGAGTAGTAGTAGTCGTAGTATTCGATCTGTATCGTATAGTGGTTGTAAGTATTATAGTGGTAGAGTAGGAGTATAGTAGTAGTCGTAGTAGTAGTCGTCGTCGTAGTAGTAGTAGTACTCGTCGTCGTAGTAGTAGTGTAGTCAGTCTCGTCGTCGTCGTCGTAGTCGTCGTGTCGTCCGTCGTAGTAGTAGTAAGTCTCGTAATTACAGTAGTCGTAGTAGTAGTAGTAGTAGTAGTAGTAGTAGTAGTAGTAGTAGTAGTAGTAGTAGTAGTAGTAGTAGTAGTAGTAGTAGTAGTAGTAGTAGTCAGTAGTAGTAGTCGTAGTAGTAGTGGTAGTAGTAGCAGTAGTAGTAGTAGTAGTAGTAGTAGTAGTAGTAGTAGTAGTAGTAGTAGTAGTAGTAGTAGTAGTAGTAGTAGTGGTATGTCCAGTATCAACGGTAGTAGCAAACGTAGTCGTCAACGTCGTCGTCGCACGAGTTGCCTGAGTAACAGAGGCAGTCACTAGAGCAGTGGTCTATATGGAAGTTGTGGTAGTAGTAATAAGTAGTGATAGTGGTCGTAGTAGTAGTAGTAGTAGTAGTAGTAGTAGTAGTAGTAGTAGTAGTAGTATAGTAGTAGTAGTGTAGTAGTAGTTCTAGTAGTAGTAGGACTCATAGTAGTGCGAGTAGATATGGTAGTAGTCGTAAGAGTAGTTGTAGTTGTAGTAGTACGAGATGATGTAGTCAAACGAGTATGAGTAGTACTAGTAGTAAAAGTAGTACTAATCGTGGGAGAAGAAGTAGTAGTAGATGTCTTTTCGAAGCCGCTCGGAGGCCTCTTGGGGCGTCTTCGGCGCCTCTTGGGGCCTCTTGGGCACCTCTTGGGGGTATCTTGGGGGCCTGATGGAGGCCTCGTGGTGCCTCCTGGGGACCTCCTGTGGGCCATCTGGGGACCTCTTGGGGCCATCTGGTGGACCTCTGGGGGCCCTCTTGGGGGGCTTGTATGAGCGCTGCCCCTCCTCCTGGTGTGACTCGTTCGGGCTCCTCGTGGTGTGAGTCGTTCGAGGCCCGCGTCGTGGTGTGAGTCGTTCGGGCTCCTCGTGGTGTGAGTCGGTCGGGCGCTTCGTCCTGGTATGAGTCGTTCGGGCCCCTCCTTGTGGTGTGAGTCGTTCGGGCTCTTCGTGGTGTGAGTCGTTCGGGCCCCTCGTCCTGGTGTGAGTCGTTCGGGCTCCTCCTGGGGCCTCTTGGGAGCCTCTTGGAGGCCTCTTGGGGGCCTCTTGGGGGCCTCTTGGGGGCCTCTTGGGAGCCTCTTGGGGGCTCTGGGGGCCTCGTGGGGGCCTCTTGGGGGCCTGTTGGGAGCCTCTGGGGGCCTCTTGGGGGCCTCTTGGTGGCCTCTTGGAGGCCTCTTGGGAGCCTCCTGGGGGCATCTTGGGGCCTCTTGAGGGCCTCGTGCGACCTCCTCAGAAGCGCAAATGAGCGCTACCCCCTGAGAAAGACACAATGAGCCCAAAACCATCGTAAAATCAATGATTTTGCTATGAAGGAAGATGAGCGCGGCCCCCTCGGGAGGCCAAAATGGGGCCAAAACCATAGTAAAAACAATGATTCTGGCTTCACAGAAGAGGAGGGGGCTACAAGAGCGCCCCCCCGTCGGGGCCAGAATCCTCGTGAGGGTCGTCGTTTTTTGGCCCTCCCAGGCGTCGAAAAGACCCCCCTGACCACCCGCGGGACTCCCTGTCCAGGCCCAGGGGGAGGGGGTAGGGGGAGGGGTAAACCCCTCCCCGAAGGGGAAGAAGGGGGGTTGGGGGGTTGAGGACAGAGGAGGCTCTCTAAACCACCCTCGCCCAAAGGGCTGGTGGGACTCGCTGCGCGGGACCTGCCCAGGCAAGAATATCTGATGGTCCCGACCTTCCCAGGGCAGAAAGCGGTCAGGCGACGAGGAAGTTCAACAAGACGCCCGCCCACAGCAAGAATTCCAGACCCGGCCGTGTGTGCCGAGCGCGGCAGACCGACCAAAGGCATGCACCCCAGCCACGCACACACGCGAAGGGCGCGAGCTGAGCCCCGCGAGCCACCCGCGCACAGATCACCTCCAAGCGCAGGCGCGCCTCACGCGCCGCCCGCGAGGAGGAGGCGGCCTGACAGCGTGCCGAGCAGGATCCACTCGACGCCTCAAGCGAACGCCTTGAGCGCCAAGTCCACTGGCAGAGCGCCCGCGATGTGCATGCCCGTGACGTTGTCCCCGCAAGGCGGCCGTGCGCTCGGAGTCACCGCCACAGGCAAGTACCGTCTTCACGGCGTCCAGCCCCATGGCATACAGGGGGTTGGGCCCGTGGGTTTGCGCGGCCCCGCTGCCGAGCGAGGGGCCGTCGTCGAGCTTGAGGGTCACCTGCGGGCCCTTGCCAGCGTCCTGCGCCTCATGCCTCGCCAGCCCGGCATGTGCCTGGCCGCTGCCTCTGTCTCGTCCGACGCACTCGTCCGCATCGGTGCCGCCCGAGAGGCTCCCAGAGGGGAAGGTGTGCGCCTCCCGGCTCCGAACCCTTGCCCCGGTCGTTGTCCAGGCCGCTGCCCACGTCCAAGGCCCAGAGTCCAAGCGCGCCCAGCGCGGGCCGCCCCGCGTTGCAGGCGTGCGCGTGCAGCTCTGCCTTTGAAGCCGACGGCGTCCTCGCCGATAGCGGCCTTCCCCGAGGCGCCGTCCCCGAAGCCGGTGTCGCCGACCCTGCCGCCGCCGCCGCCGAGGCCGACGACGCCCACCTCCGTGGCGCCCGCCCCCAGCCGCCGCCGCGGCGTGCGCAGCGACGCCCATCGGCGCAACCCTAGCTCCCTCTCTCCTGCCTTCTCCGATCTTTCTGGCCTCCGAGAGGTGGAGCGCCTGCTGGAGGGCCGCCGCGTCGCCGTCGACGCCGCCATCTGGATCTTCGAGGCGCAGAGGCAGCAGCAGGTGGCGCTCGCCGTCGGCCCGCAGCGCGCCGCCCTGAAGGTAATCTTCGAGCGCTGCTCGAGGTGGCTGCGCAAGGGCGTGCTGCCCGTGGTCGTGCTCGAGGGCACCGGCGGCGGCAGGGGCGCGCGCGCGGCTGGGCGCGGCAGCAGCGCGCTGGGAATGCTGACGCAGGTGCAGCCGCAGCTCAGAGAGCTGCTGGCGGCGCTGGGCGTGCCGTGTGTGCAGGCGGCCGGCGAGGCGGAGGCCGCGTGCGCGGAGCTGGCCGCCTGCGGCGCCTGCGACTTCGCGGCGAGCAGGGACTTCGACACGCTGCTGTTCGGCGCTCCCCGGGTTCTCGTCAACCTGACCCTGCGCTCGGACGCGGCGTCCACGTGCGAGCTCTGGGAGCTCGCGGAGGTGGAGCGGCTGACCGGCCTGAAGCGGGAGCACCTGGCGATGGCCGCGTTCCTGGCGGGCTCGGACTACGACGTCCGGCCGAACAGGCGCGGCAGCGCCAAGGGCAACAGTGCCCTCCAGCGCGAAGGAGCCGGCGTCCGCGGCGTGGGAGCACGGAAAGCTATTTCCACGCTTCAGGCCCTGAGCCAGGAGAGCGTCGACGCCGCTGGCGCGGTCAGGAAGTGGCTCCGAGGCAGCATCGCCCCCGCGCTGAGAGCGGCGGCGGCGGCGCGGCTCCGGCCCAGGCGGCCCAGCGAGACCGCCGCGCAGAGGTCGGCGACGCTGGCGCGCAGGCGGATGGGAAGGGTCGCCGCCGCCGCGGAGCTGGAGCCCGGCGCGCTGCGGGGGCAGGAGGCCGTCGCGCGCCAGTACGACCGCGCGGGCGCCGTGGCGCAGCCTCTGCACGTCGAGCTCCGGTGGGGAGGGATTGCCGACCTCGGCCGCGCGGTCCGTGCGCTGGAGCCGGTGTGGCCTGCGCAGGCGATCGGCATCACCCAGACATGTTTACATCATCGCGCGCGCGCTCAGAAATCTTGTAGCATACGCTTGGTGGCGGGCGCTTTCTGGCCATAACGGTGGGGCAACGATAGGCTGTTCCCCAAAACGGTGCTTGCACTTAGGGGTTCTTACTTGTTTGTCTAGGATGAACTGGTAACTGGGCCTGCCTGGCGGTCCTGTGGTTCCATGGTCGCCGTCGCCGCCCCGTCGCCGCCTCGTCGTCGCCCGTCGTCTGGGCCTGTCGTCTGGCGGTCTGTCTGGCGGCTCCGTGGTCGCCGTCGCCGCCCCCTCGCCGCCTCGTCGCCACCCGTCGTCTGGGCTTGGATTCTCCTTTCTAAAACAAATAGGTTCTACCACCCTCCCCCCCCCCGAACTTGCAGGCCCCCCTTTTCGTATGGCAAATTGCAATCTACATTTGTTTCTGCCCCATCGTCCATCCCACCCGTGAATTCATACTATCCCAGCCAAGCTCGTATCGCCCCCCCCCCCCCCGCCATCCTCTGCGAAACATTTTATGTGCGCGCACCCGTTGATCACAAATCATACGTGTTTTTTCCCGGAAAGGGCAAAGGCCCAGGGTTCTCTTTTAGTTGGTTTCCCCCCGGTTTTGACGGCTGTAGGGCCGGCGAATTTCTTTTGCGATAAATAATGAGGTCGCGTAGGGCCGGCGAATAAAATTTGAGGATGTCCCTAGCGAAACGCTTGCTTTGCAGAATTTGTTGAGGATGTCTCGAGCGAAACGCTGGTTTTGCAGAGTTGGGGATGTCTCGAGCGAAACGCTTGTTTTCAGAATTTGTTGAGGATGTCTCGAGCGAAACGCTGGTTTTGCAGAGCCGACCGCGACGCGGAAAAGCGCCCCGCGCGCAGGAATTCCGATGATGTTTCGCGCGTGCCGCGTCCCGCGCGCAGGAATTTCGAGGATGTCTCGACTAATTCGTTTGTTTTGCTAGGATTTCCTTGAATTTTGGCAGGATGTCTCGAGCGAAATGCTTGTCTTTCATAATTTGTTGAAGACGTTTCGAGCGAACCGCTGGTTTTGCAAAATTGGGGGATGTCTCGAGCGGGGGCCTCGTGGGGGGCCTCGTGGGGGTCCAGAATTCAGAGGATGTCTCAGGCGAAATGCTTGTTTACACGTCCCGCTCGCAAGAATTTCGAGGATGTCTCGCGCGTCCGCGCCCCGCGCGCAGGAATTCTGAGGATGTTGGCAGGATGTCTCGAGCGAAACGCTTGTCCCCAGCACGTTCCGTAGCGCGTCCCCTTGGCACGTCCCGCGGTGCGTGCCCGTGGCGCGTCCCCTGGCACGTCGCTTGGCGGGTCCCTTGGGACGTTCCGCGGCGCGTCCTCCTGGCATGTCCCCTTGTCAATTAGCTCTGGGGCAGCTACTATGTGTTCAGGCAGCTCGAGCTTAAGATTCAGATCAGGACTCGGATGCAGAGGAGGACTCGATCCACGAGGCTATAGAGCACAATCGCGGCATGGCACATCGCAAGTCAGCACGGCGCAGCACAGCACAGACTTCGGCACAGTACATCAAGATCGATAGACTCAGCATTGCAACTTGGCACGTTCCTTGGCACGTTCCGTGGGGCGTCCCTTGGCGAGTCCCCCTGGCACGTCGCGTGGCGCGTCCCCTGGCACGTCCCGCGGCACGTCCATTGGCACGTTTCTTAGCGCGTCTCCTTGGCACGTCCCGCGGTGCGTGCCCATGGCACGTCCCCTGGCACGTCGCTTGGCGTGTCCTTTGGGACGTTCCGCGGCGCGTCCTCCTGGCATGTCCCCCTGTCGAGTAGTTCTGGGGCAGCTACTATGTGTTCAGGCAGCTCGAGCTTAAGATCCAGATCAGTTCGGTCAGGACTCGGATGCAAAGAGGACTCGATCCACAACGCTATCTAGAGCACAATCGCGGCATGGCACATCGCAGTTCAGCACGGCGCAGCACAGCACAGATTTCGGCATGGTACATCAAGATCGATACACTCAGCATTGCAACTTGGCACGTTCCGTGGGGCGTCCCTTGGCGAGTCCCCCTGGCACGTCGCGTGGCGTGTCCCCTGGCACGCCCCGCGGCACGTCCATTTGCACGTTCCGTAGCGCGTCTCCTTGGCACGTCCCGCGGTGCGTGCCCATGGCACGTCCCCTGGCACGTCGCTTGGCGTGTCCTTTGGGATGTTCCGCGGCGCGTCCTCCTGGCATGTCCCCCTGTCGATTAGTTCTGGGGCAGCTACTATGTGTTCAGAGCAGCTTGAGATCCAGATCAGTTCGGTCAGGACTCGGATGCAAAGAGGACTCGATCCACAACGCTATCTAGAGCACAATGGCGGCATGGCACATCGCAGTTCAGCACGGCGCAGCACAGCACAGATTTCGGCATGGCACATCAAGATCGATACACTCAGCATTGCAACTTGGCACGTTTCCTGGGGCGTCCCTTGGCGAGTCCCCCTGGCACGTCGCGTGGCGCGTCCCCTGGCACGTCCCGCGGCACGTCCATTGGCACGTTCCGTAGCGCGTCCGCTTGGCACGTCCCGCGGTGCGTGCCCATGGCACGTCCCCTGGCACGTCGCTTGGCGCGTCCCTTGGGACGTTCCGCGGCGCGTCCTCCTGGCATGTCCCCTCTGTCGATTGGTTCTGGGGCAGCTACCATCTGCTCAGTCAGCTCGAGCTTAAGATCCAGATCAATGCGGTCAGGACTCGGATGTTAAGGAAGACTCGATCCACGACGCTATGTAGAGCACAATCGCGGTATGGAACATCGCAGTTCAGCACGGTGCAGCACAGCACAGCCCCTGGCACAGTACATTAAGATCGATACATTCTGCATTGCATTTGCCCGTCGCCCAATCATGTGTCTTTGAACAGTTGCCATGCCTTACATTTCTATATTCCTTTCCGGGTTCGTGGGTCGATCATGTTTAATATGACTTGCAACCAAGTGGACGAAGTGCGCACGCGCGCGTCGTCGCGCGCGCATGCCGAAATCCTTCAACAACTCTGTGGCTTCGGAAGGATTTCAAAATCGAGCGTTCTAACCGTATTCAAAAACATATGGTTTCGCAACACGGGATTTCAACAACAAAAAAGAACAAAAGAAACGCGCGTGCGCTCTTGCGAACACTTAAGAAAACCATTGGTACTTCAACATGTTCATCAACATGCTACCAAGCGGGCCTTTCGCCCGCGCATGTCGAAGTCGCGCGTGCTGGGGAAAAGGGGCGCGATCCGTGTTAAAAAATACCATGCGGGCCACTCTCGCGCGTCTGCCGCGCGCGCATATCGAAGTTCTTCCACTACCTTCATCACCGACGCGACGACTCCATCATTCATCATCGTCGTCGGCGTGATCAGCATCGGCGCCGTCACCGGCTGCCCCGTCGTCGCTGTCAGCATCGTCGCTACTATCATATTCGTGTCTACTGTTGTCGACGTGGCCATGATACCGCGCCCGCCCAAATCGCCGATTCGCAGTGAAGTGCCCGCTGGGATGTGCCGAGCGGTCAGTGCCTCCGCGTTCGCGTCGGTCGCGCCAAACTAGCTGGCCATTGCTCGCGCGGGCATGCCCGTGCTAGCGGCTAGCGCGGCCGCAGAGATGCACCAGCCAACACCAAGCACTCCTCGCAATCGCCACCGCGTGGGTTTTGCAAACCAAGTTGCGGGTGGATGGGTGGGATGTTTGCGCCAGCTGTGGAGTGGACAACTCACTGCGAACATAATTTATTTAATCGCTTCGCTCATTCCGCCGGCCCATATTGGTGCACGGCTGTCGATTGCCTCTGTGATCGGAGTAATTGCGGCTGATGGGTTTGGTTGTTGGTCATGGATGGTCGGCTTGTGGCGACCTTGCCGGGAGGAGCCATTTTTTGCATGCCTGAGCCGTCTTATCTGGAAGGTGGCGGTTCGTGAAATTTTATCGCAGGAAACAAGAACACAGTTTGCAGTCTCCTTGTCCTCTGAACTTCCTCCTTCCGCTGCTATGTGTAATCGTGCGTGTGTGTTGGGGAGGGGGGGGCGGGGGGGTTGGGGTAGGGGGGTAGAGGCGCGAGCGTGGAAAGTGTGGGTGGCAGAGGAGGAGGAGGGGGGGGAGGTGGGGGAGGAGGAGGCGGAGGGAGTAGAGGAGCAGTGGAAGATGGAGGAAGGATCAGAGGCACGGGGGGTTTGGGGTGAGAGAGGTTGTTCATTTGAAGTCTCTTCAGGGTCTTTTGGGAGGCTCTCGGCGGCCTCTTGGCGGTATTTGTTGGTCCTCCTGGGGCTTCACGGCGCTTCGCCGCATGAAGCGCTGTTGGGGTGTCCCGGGAGCCTCTTAGAGGCAGTTTTGAAGCCTCGTGACGGTCTCTTGGGAGGCTCTCGGCGGGCTCTTGGCGGTAGTAATTGGTCTTCTTGGAGCCTCACGGGAGCTTATTGGGGCGTCTTGGGGGTGTCTTGGAGGGTCTTTCGGAGCGGAGGACTTCAAATTCACGTTGGGGCTCCTCGTGGGAGGCTCTCTTGGAGTAGTCGTGGGAGTCTCTTGGGCCGTCTCGGTTTGGTGTATCTCCGGTGCTTCTTAGAGGCAGCTTTGAAGTCTCTTCAGGGTCTCTTGGGAGGCCCTCGGCGGTCTCTTCGCGGTATTTGTGGGTCATCCTGGGGCTTCACGGCGCTGCACCGCAATCAGCGTTGTTCGGGTGTCTCGGGAGCCTCTTAGAGGCAGTTTTGAAGCCTCGTGACGGTCTCTTGGGGGGCTTTCGGCGGGCTCTTGGCGGTATTTGTTGGTCCTCTTGGGGCCTGGGGCCTGACGTTGTTGGTCCTCTTGGGGCCTCACGGGAGCTTATTGGGGCGTCTTGGGGGTGTCTTGGAGAGTCTCTTGGGGCCTCTTTCGGGGTCCTGGGCGCCTTCTGGGGCGGAGGGCTCGATTTTTCAGTTCTCGGTTCCCTTCTTGAGCCCCTCTTGGGCCCGTCTTGGGGCCTCTTGGTCCGCCTTGGGCGGCACTTGGGCCGTCTGGGGGGCGCTCT